TAATTACAGAAAGAACTAGCGTCCGTCAAAAATCCTGACTCTCAAGGTCACCTTTCAAGGTCAAACGCGGGTTCAAAGGGTGGGGAACTCTATATCACCAAAAAATTACGGGCCAATTTTTAACTTACGAAGATCAAAGCATTTACCACAGAAAGAGCTAGCGTCCGTCAAAACGTCCTGACCTCTCAAGGTCACCCTTCAAGGCCACACACCGGCTCAAAGGACGGGGAACTCCATATCACCTAAAAATTGCCGGATGTTTTTTTAAATTTTCGAAGATCAGAATATTGATCACAAAAAGAGCTAGCGTTTGTAAAAAATCCTGCCCTCTCAAGGTCGCCCTTCAAGATCAAACGCGGGCTGAAAGACAGGGAACTTCATATCATCCAAAAATTATCGGCCGATTTTTAACTTAATAAGGTCAAAACATTTACCACAGAAAGAGATAGCGGTCGTCAAAAAGCTCTGACCTCTCAACGTCAACCTTCAAGGTCAAACGCGGGCTCAAAGGACGGGAAACTTGATGTCAACCAAAAATTACGGCCGATTTGTAACTTACAAAGATCAGAACAGTCACCACAGAAAGAGCTAGCGTCCGTCAAAAAGTCCTGCCCTCTCAAGGTCACCTTTCACCTCTCAAGGTGAAAGGTGAAAGGTGACCTTGAGAGGTCAGGACTTTTTGACGGACACTAGCTCTCTCTTTCTGGTGATTATTTTGATTTCTTTAAGTTTAAAATCGGCCGGTAATTTTTGGGTGATATGGAGTTCTGACACGAAAATATTGTCAAACCGGTTTGCTCGGTGGTAAGACTCTGTACCCGTTATAAGAAGACCCTGGTTCGAATTCCAGCAACTGCAATGGGGAGAATTCGGTCTTTGACATGTAGCGGAGCGTAGAGTGAGTTGATTATGTACAAATAGAAACGGGTGATTTACTCTCAATCTATGCGACAGATGCCGGTCTTAAGTCACTCGGCTGACGCCCAGCAGCGCTTTTTTATTTCAGCGTACTCCCGGCCGCATACGCGCACGGGTTTTGGGATGAACAGCGGTGCTTTGTCTGTCACTGAAAACTCTAGCGATCGGCGAAAATGTAAGTTTGAGATCTTACGGCACATCCAGAATAATCTAAATGCTATACTGAGCAGTGGGAAGTACGTGTCCGTAGACGCTGCAAAACACTTGGCGTCCACTCGCCAAGGATTTTGGGGTAGCGAGAAGTTTCTTCCAAGATGGCGGACAGAAGAGGAGAGAGGGGAGGGTTGTATCAGTTGTATGTGGGCAAGATTATAATATCTACAGATTGTTACAGCCTTAAGCTTTATATGCGGCGGTAAGGTTTTGGAGAGCACGTCTTCATTTGTCGGTACATAATTTCTGAATGGCCCCTTTCCAATGAGTTCGCCTACCCCGTGTTAGACTCCATCACATGGTGGGAGAAGCTCTGCTTGTGTTTTTTCCGTTTTAGAGTAAGTTTCATCGCCGGCAAGCTGCATGCGTTACAACATTTAAACCAAATACGCCCGTCTGTGCTATTTCGTAATTCATCGTGATTGCGACATGACACATTTTCCCCTTTTCATCTACATGAGTTTTTTATGACTACTGCCACCTTGGTGTCGTTTGCTCAGGTGAAAATCACGGATCTACACAAGCAATGTAGCCATCGACATGTTTTATGGATGACAATAAGTCATGGCAGCTATGTCAGTGCATCATTGGCAGCAAGTTAATGATAAATTATCGGTACGTTGTATCACTTATACAAGATACCGCATGCGCAGCTGAATCAACACGCACCACCCGACATCTTAGAAAAAACGTCACGCTACCCCGAAATCCTTGGGAGGCAGACGCCAAATGTTTTACAGTATATACGACATATACTTCCCACCACTCCGTATAGAAGTTATATTGATCTAGTTATGCCTTAGGCATCAAACACACATTTACGCCAATCGCTCTAGTTTTCAATGACAGGCAAAAACATATTTGTCACGCTCATCCCAAGACGCGTGCATGTAGACAGACGAAAGTACACTGAAAGGTAGAGGCAACTGCTGTGCATCAGCTGAGTGCCTCAAGCCTGCCATCCATCACATGCATTTGAAATGAATCACCCTGGTATTACTCGGCCATGACATAAGTCATTCCTTTCTTCTCCATGTATTGTATCAGCTGTGCATGGGGTATGTTGCGTCAGTGATACAGGGCACCGACAGTGACGTCACTGACTGATTTACTGGCAGTGATGGACTGACATAATTGCCGTGATTTCTCACGACCCAGACAATAAGTCGGCATTTACAGTCCCTGTGTAAATCCATGACTCTCACCCGAGTATAATGGGCTGATAACTGTCACAGCCACGATGAATTTTGAAGTAGCAGCCACCTGCGTGTTTTCATATAGACAGCAGTAATAGCCTTATTCCTCGAAGAAAAACCAGGAGAGTGGAGAAATCTAAAAATTTCTCCGAGGAATAAGGCTATTACTACTGTCTTGTGAATGTGAGAGCATTGTGAACTATGTGAATAATGCTCCCCGTGAACCTACTGGACAACTTACCTGCGTGTTTTGTTTTGTTTTACCTGCGTTGTTTGTGTTGTTTACATATCATGACACAGTTTGCGATGCAGTCTTCTCCATGACTTCCCTACCATGTGATACTAGTTACCCTACCCTCACACACCGGGCAAAGTCGGCAGCCCGAGCGATTATGACACCCGTAATAGCAATGCCTATTTTGATTCGTTCTGCAAACCAGCACGCACTTCAGCGCCAACAACAATCGGAGGCTTCACCTGGGCCGCCGACGACGCGTCGATCGACCGACCCGTCCGAGGCGTGCATGCGGCTGGCAGCATCGCGGCGTGACCGTCGGAAACGACGGCGCCCGATATGAATCTGCGCCGGCCGTCGTCCGGTACATAAGAGCACGGAGTTTGACCCGGCCGTCAGTGGCGGGCCCGGCCTTCCCAGCGTTGTCGCCTTGCGCGCTGGGGAAGACCGCCCGGCGAGTGACGTCTGTTTGAGTCTGGCGCGAGCTAGCGCGGCGGCACTGTAAACAGAGGCGTCCCGCGCGGCGCCGTCCTTACTCCACTGCAGTCCTGGAGCCCGCGGAGGAGACGGCTACTTCCAGAGGTAAGCCGCGTCGACTCACGTGACCTGCCGACGATGGCGGGGTGCCTGCTGATCAGAGAGATTGGTGCCTACACGGAGGTTCATGGCTTAAGGTAAACCGGTGCTTGGAGATCTGCTTAGCCAGAGCCAGGCTAGTGTCTGGAAGGAGATAACGCTTGGGTGCAGCGTCCATCGAGCCTGTGCCATAAAGGCTTTCCTGTAGGACATTACCGGAACAATCATCACAAGAGTACAATCCTTCTTGGGTCCGTTTCGTTGAATCGGTATGCAGACGAGGTAGGAAAGCAGTGCGAGATGCACCTTCGCGCCCTGCATAATGCACAGAACGCCACCACGGTGACCTCAACGGGCGGCCACGTTCATGATATGCTGGTCACAGCAGACCGCGTGGCCGCGTCATTAACACCGTTGTGTTTTTGAAAACGAATGGCTACGTCAGCGGCATCATCGTGCATCGGCAGCAGACAACTGTCGTTAGCGAAGCCGTGTTAGTGATGCTGGCGCTCTTTCCACAGCTGACAAATATGCTAACTATGTCAGCTATGTTAGCTAGGTATGTCAGCTATGACAACAATGTCAGCGACTCCTCAGTGTTATTCTTCGCGTTTTAAAGAAGGCGACGTACGTTGCCATGCGCCCTTGTATGTGGCGGTTGCGACTGTGGCGGCCACATTAGCACTCGGGGCATGGATCACCGGGATTCGGACACTGGTCAGGACACTGGTCCGAATCCACGCAAGAGCCGATGGCGCTGACCGCTCGGCCGTCGCGCCATCCCTGCGCGCAATAACGCCACGGAGTGCAGCGGTGTCAGTGGCACCGCAGTGTCGTTGACACTGCAGTGGGTAGATGTGTCGGTGACACTATTGTGCGGTCCACAGCGTCCACAGCGGACAGCTGCCAGGTGGCGATGAGGGCCCTCTCTGCGGCGCTGTTTCTGGTGCTGACCACTGCGCTGGCTCTCGTCACGGCCCAGAGTCGGCCCGAACGACAGCGCGAGTCGCACGCTGGTTCGTCCTTTGCTGCTACCGGTGAATATGCACAGACGCAGATGCATTCAGTAATGTTCACAAAAACAAGCAGAAGCGTTGGAAGGCGCGGAAGTGTTTGCTCACGCAGTCAGAAACGTCCACAGAGACAGTTGGCAACGTTTGCCAATCGCCGACACAGTTGCCTGGCGTTTCTTCTAATGCTAACGTTCGTTGACATTTAGCCAGTGTACACCAGGCGTCGTGTTGCAACCTATATTTGTGCTGTTCGCAGACGAGGACCTTAATTGAGGCTAAGGATGGTCACTACAACTAAAGTCGACGCCAACTAAAACCATACCATTAATAATAGCAACTGACATTGCCTTCCGCAGTGTCAGTCCATGTAATTTCGTGCCGTCCGTGATCCCGTTTGCAAACGTTCTGTCGAAATTGAAACCACTTTATCGCGTTGTGTGGTTGATGTTTTGGTACACCATGACGTCATATCGCTTTACAAGTCCAGCCCATTGTTTATCCATCCGCTGGAGCGACACGGAACGTTATCTATGAAAAGCAGCAGCTGTGTTTAATCAATGCTTAGCTGTCTGACTGTCGACATTGGGCTCCTTTATAAGGCATGTAACATCCTTGGAAATATACCACAACTCATTTCTATGCTTTAGCTTCAAAGTGCATCAAGGCATTCGATGGGGAAAAGGCTTTCTAGTCCATTTTCCTGCACGATGTCCATGTCCTACGTGAATCAGTGACCAGGCCACTTACACCGAAACCATAGCACAGTCTTCAGTCGGCACCCTTCCTCTGCGTGTGACGTAAACCCCTGAGAACCGGTGACCGCCGTCCGTCCGACAGGCGAGCCCGATTGTCTGGACTTCGCCAAGCGCGGGGGGACATGCGGGTCGGCGCGCGACTGCCCCGCTATTCTGCAGCTGATCCTCAGCGGACCCAGCACGCAGGAGATCCAGAACATCCGGGACAGCGTCTGCGGCTTCCGGGTGAGCGTTCTGACGGCGAGATCCGCCTCTCCCGTCCACGGCTGACCACTGCGCAGCATAGCTTAGTTGGTAATTGATCAAGCTGCCCACCAGACAGACCTCACACGGCTGCGCGTTCAGAGCTGCAACCTATGCTCATGGCTGCGCGTTCAGAGCTGCAACCTGTGCTCATGGCTGCGCATTCAGAGCTGCAACCTGTGCTCATGGCTGCGCGTTCAGAGCTGCAGACTGTACTCATGGCTCCGCGTTCAGAGCTGCAACCTGTGCTCATGGCTGCGCGTTCAGAGCTGCAACCTGTGCTCATGGCTCCGCGCTCAGGGCCGGCGTCCGTTGGTCTGCTGTGCCCGGGAGCTGCCCGCGACCGAGGCTCCCGCGACTGAGGCCCCCGCCACCGAGGCCCCCGCCACCGAGGCCCCCGCCACCGAGGCCCCGAACACTGAGGCCCCGCCGACCGAGCCAGTCGAGACCGGACCTCCCCGCACTAACCCGGGAGCCAGCAGCAACACGTCCGGCGGCGACGTTCAACACCCCAACCGGTGAGGCCTGCCGCGGTGGCCTGAGTGGGGACCACTGACGACACTGCGCGATACTTCCGATCCCGCTATTTCACGCTGGGACGCTAGCCGTGTGTCGTGCTTGATATGTGTACCCGCTGAGGTCAGGGTAGTGCGCTGAGCGTGTCTTTTGATTCGGGTGCTTCATAGCTAGGAAGACAATGACCGGCCAAGCACACAGGGGCTTTCAACTATTTGTTATTATATTACTATTATAAGTTATTTGTTTGACGAGTTGACAGTCAGACTATGCTATCGCACCAACAGTTGAAATCATGGACCATGTACATCCACTCAAGAGATGGGATGTTTTACTGACCACGATCGAAATGAGACAACTAACGTTAAATCATATGTCATGGTACTTTCGAAAGCGGTTAAGAATAACGTCGACACCTTTCAATCTAGAATCATTCCTCGGTAAACTCAGTACAAAAGAAAGGCCTTAACACTAAATTTACCTAGCGCTCTTTTGTTTGCCTTACACTTTTACCATGATAATGAAGCTGTTTCGTCTAATACTTGGTATGGACAATCGTCATAGAGCTATCTGTTGCAAACAACCTTTCAAATTATCTCAGTCAAATACATCAAAACGCCACTATTTCCGTTTCAGATAGCCTGCATTATAACCACAGTTGAGTGTAACTTGAGTTGAAGATCTACAACTCTAATTATTGTCCTTACTATACTAACATGCTAAGTAACGGTCTTACCATTATATTGATTGAAAATACAAAAACAAAAATCATCACGGCCAAGGTATCCGACGCCTAGCGAGGACTATTTCCGCACGTCACTGCGATGTCACCGACCGAGTGCTGTCCGCTGCCCGGCGTCCAAGCCAGCGGGCAGCGAGCCGGCGCCACCCCGGGCTCACCCGTGCGCTGCGCTCTGGTCCAGACACCTGCTGTCGACCAAGGGCTCAGGGCTGTGGCGTCACGCTGCACCAGCGCATCGTGGGAGGCACAGAGGTGCGGATCGGCTCGCACCCCTGGCTGGCCGCGCTCGGATACCAAGGTTAGACCGGCCCCGCACCCCTGGATACGCTCGGATACCAAGGTTAGACCGGTACCGCACGCCCGGATACGCTCGGATACCAAGGTTAGAACCGGTTCCGCACCCCTGGATACGCTCGGATACCAAGGTTAGACCAGTCCCACACCCCTGGATACGCTCGGATACCAAGGTTAGACCAGTCCCGCACCCACGGATACGCTCGGATACCAAGGTTAGACCAGTCCCGCACCCCTGGCTGGGCACGCTCGAATACTAAAGTTAGACCGGCTCCACACCCCTGGCTGGCCGCGCTCAGCCAAAAAGGCTAGACCGGTCACCGCCGTCGCCACACGCCCAAATCAAGCTGGGTGCGCGTAACAACAGATCTGGGTCTGCTTAAGCCATGAGGGGATCGACGGCGAGGTGAACAGCCATGTTTGCTCATCAGCCCTGCGTGATCACGACCGTGAGTGATGGTACGCCCATCCTTGCATGCCACGTGTCATGACGTCATACTTCTGGCGGACGTAAGGCATGAAACTGGCATGCACCCATGAAATGTTTGCAACTGTATCATTCACATTTGTCAGTACAAACCAGTTGTCCATCTGTCCATGTCATTGCAGAACGTTTGCTTTGGGTAAGCAATTGTCAGGCCCCACGGCTCCCTGACCCATTGTAATGAAATGAAACAGGGTGGAATGCTGTGCGTGCGTGCGTGTATGGAAGGGGGGCGTCTCTACCCTAGCGCCATCTCCCGCGCTCCGCCACTGGCCAGCGTTCCACTGCTGGTCGCTGGCCAGCGTCCTACCGCCGGTCGCTGGCCAACGTCCCACCGCCGGTCGCTGGCCAGCGTTCGACCGCCGGTCGCTGGTCAGCGTTCGACCGCCGGTCGCTGGCCAGCGTTCGACCGCCGGTCGGTTCTGCCGCAGTTGTCGGCGAGGAGCGCGTCGAGTTCAACTGCGGCGGCTCCCTCATCAGCGACAGATACGTCCTGACCGCCGCGCACTGCGTCACCCAGCTGCCCGTCGACTTTAAGCTGTACGTTATCGGCCCGGGTGGCGCGGCACTGGTCACACCGCCGCTGGCCGAACAAACGGCTCGGCGCACAAGGACTAGGCTTGTTCTGTCAGTCACAAGCCGGTGTGTGTTGGTGGAGGGGGTATTTGCACGCATCGGTAGGTCTGCGTGGCGTTTATCTGTGTGCTGAATAGCCGGCATTGCCACACATGATCTGTACGTGCTCAAAATGTCCGTCCATCCATCCATACATTCCTCCCAAAGGGAAGCTATGAACACCTTATCCAGCGTCAACATGCAAAATGTCCTTAATTTGCGACATGCTCAAGGGAAGCCTTAAGCCTTTGGTTCTTTACACATTCACATACGCCTTGTATGACATCACAGAAGTGCAGCACCACCGTATCTTTGATACTTTTGTAGCGCATGCTTTGCGATATCGTGCTCGCTTGCACCATCCCGTGCAGAATTTCGGTTATATCACTGTGTCTGTGTGGTTTCATCGTCTTGTTTTTCGAAAGAACGCTGATGAGGTAAAAGATATGGCCATCAGCAGTGTTTCGAATGCACGTATCAAAACAACATCAACTATGGACTGCATCTACGACATGAAGTCAGGCACCGGCTCTAACCGTGACGTCATGCCTTAAACAAGCAGCTGATCTACCCCTGCGTGACCGTTTCACACTGCCTGTGACATTTACCAGAGATTCGCGACACAAAGCCCTGCACGAGGGACGTTTTAAATGCACCGCACCGCACGCCAGGCTAAATAAACACTTCACCGTCTTACTACCCTGATAGAGCGCCGTGCTGGTGGCGCACCGATTCATCATCACTCAAACCGAATAAAATAGCCCGAGCGGATCGGAAGAAACCTCAATGAATCACACACACCACCCTTTACAACCGCTCCAAGTAGACAGAGTTGTCTCGGGATTTTGCGCGCGGGTATGTACTTTGCTAGCAACGCCTGGTAGTGCGCAATACGCAGAACAGGAGGAACCTCACGAATCGTAGTATCCTGAACATGGTAAGGCGCCGAGAGGAGCTCGGTAAGACATTGTGTGTGAGAAACTGAGCCATGAAACAGACACTGCGATGGCGCAGACTCCAGCTGATCACTGCTCTGTTTGTTGTCCAGCGTCTCGGTCCGGCTCGGAGAACACAACCTCGACACAGAAGTCGACTGCCAGGTACGAAGCGAAGCAGCTATTTTCAGGGAGTTTTTGTGTTCTCTTGGTCGAGCCGACCACCTAGCGAGGAGCGAAAATGACTATGTCGCCAGAGCATAGTATCTAGAAGCGACTGCGCCTTCGTCGTTGAGAGCCACCAGACCCCACTTGTGTGACCGCGTCACAGTGACGCACTTGACCTTGCAATTAGCAAACGAAGTGGAATGAAATACGCCCTCCCTTGAAAATGATGTCATGGGTGATATCATATCGCTATTTGCAGTAGCCCTCGAGTTGATGTTGTCGATGCACGCCGTATTTGAGAGCCCTGTCAAGGTTTTAAACACGCTATAATTGACAATGACCTTTCGTGACAGCAACGGTAAGTTTGCAACGCAACGGTGTAACCTCACACAATACGGGCGGCGTCCAACGCAAACCAACATCTGCTCTTGCATAATGTATTGCCTCCTCTTCATCAATGGAAACGTCATCATCACCAGCTGTGCTATCATCGAGTCAACACACTTGTGCCACACTAAACCATGCATTCGGAGCCATAAAATGAAGGATGAAAGACCAATTAAAATTTTAACCGTTCATTCCCTACACGACAACATACGGTACGAAAGGTTCGCACCGT